ATAAATCTAACTTGTACTTATCACACATACCATTACAATAAAAATTCATTAATTTCCACATGAATTCAGAAATTTTAACCTTTAAGGAACTCTTAATGTCCTACCATATAATTTAGGTTAACAGAAAACTGGGGAAAAAAAGACTGAATACAAACTATCTTAAGACATTAATCAAACTTTTAATGTATCAATTTATTGCATATGTCAGTACAGAAAAATAGAAAGTATATTCTAAAAGAAATTTATTGTAAAAAAAAACAAATGTAAATGTTTGCTTGCCATGGCTAGCACATTGTGTACGCTGACATTCAAATCTGAGTTATAAAACTGTATTACTGCTTCAAATAAAATATGGCAAATAACAAAAATATGATTTACATGAAACTGGGTTAACTTATTTTATCCTGGATATACTTGAATATGTTGAAAACAACTTGACTTTTCAGTATTCACTGTACTGACAGAAACTGTTATAAATTATGTTGAACAACACACACTCATCCCTGTTACATTATGTGTATATGGCACTTTTTGTAAAAAGTGTCTCTTATACGTAGTCCTATTTTTAAACTACATTTTTAGATACAAAATATAAATGGAGGTATATTTGTGCCATTTGGCAAAAACGTGTTGACTATAACTAGGATGAATGCATTTATTTTGCTATAAAATGAATATATTATTTCTGATTAGCTAAGACGATGTGCATATACGGTAATATAAATAAACAGAAGTGCTTTTCATTTTCTACCCTACCGATTTAAAAAATAGAGGTCTGTGCTCTGTCATTTTTCCAACTTTACCTGAGTGATATGAAAATACATAAATTTAAGTGGATTAATCCAAAAGCATTGTAACGAATATTTCTCACAGTTTTTTTTTCTTCTTCTCTTCATTATTGTCAAACATAATAGGAAAAACGGAGAGGGGGGAGGTCAGTGCAAGAGTTCAGGATACCTCAATCATGACCTAATTTTAGAAGGGACTTCTGTGACATCCTATGTAAAAGTTTACCTTATTTTTCCCAACCTTAAGCAAGGAACACACTAATAAAAACTGCCCTTAAACTGAGATTGCAAGAAAATTTATATAAAATTCAACAGGGCCTTCATTCTGTAATCTGACCAAACAAACCTATTCCTACCTCAAACCAAATCTTACAAAAATAAGAAATGAATATAAAAGCATCAGGTGGTACGAATTCTCAACAAGAGAATGTAATTGACATATGACCAAAGCTGGGACTTGGGTAATTACCAAGTGTCTACAGCTCCTCATGAAAAAATAAGCTTAAGCTGCCCAGTAACAACACTGAAAATGCCATTTCAATAAAAATATCAATTTTACAGTCAAAGTATTTGCCATGTCAGGTGCTCTAGTCACTTTCTTTGTTAGAGACGCCTTGCATACAAATGTATTGTTTTGCACTATGAGGTATCCTTTCTGCCAATCTCTTCAGTTAATCGTTTCCTAGATCTACATCCAAGAACCAGGTCACATTCCCTTTCTAGCTACTTCTATTCATTTAGTATCTTTTATCTTTCATCTGTCACAAATTATCTCTATTTTGTAATATCCTTTTTAGTATTCTTTTTGCCACCCCCCCAATAATCCCTTTTAAAATAATGGACTTTGATCTAAATAAACTGTATCTTGCCATATTTAAAATCATTCTAGGACTTCCAAATTTACAGTAACTTAATAACTTAAAGATCATTCATAATCTCTTAACAGCTGCTCTTGCAAATGAGCCAGAAATTAAGACACAAGACAGAAACACTTCTATTCCCACTAAGACATGTGTCCAAATGAAGGAGTGACCCATGAAGAATTCACGTTTTATTAAGACCAATTGTTTTGGCCACAAAATTAGACATGGTTTAAAAAAATGATGCCATGGGCTTCATGGACCACAGTTAACAAGAGTTTGTTTTCTACCCTCTTCCCAACTAAGGAAATCTCAAATATAGAAGCCAGGAAAGAAAGATGAGCTACAACCCTAAACACGGCCTCCTCCCTCTGCTGCAGGAAGCAACGCCTCTTAATCCGAAGAGAATGAAGGTGGGAATGGACACAAGTACTTTACAACTTTTGAAATCCTGGCTTTAGGGAAAACAAAAACAAAAACAAAACTTTATAAACCCTAAAAAAAAAAAAAAAAAAAACAACAAAAAAAAAAAACACCGATGAAGAAAAAGCTTTTATACTTCATCAGCATACTATTTACAACTAAAGTTGATAAATCCCTCCACAAGCAGTAGACTAAATAATCACATGAAAACACATGAAGGTACTCTGTAAACTTTAAAGAATGATGAAAGTCTTAAGGTGTGCCAAGTAAGCTCATGTCTAAGAACACTACATTTGTTGTATTAACTCTTTTCTTTTTAATACATTACTATTTAGGATAGTCATTCTACATAGCAATGATTGAGAAGATGGAAAATATCCTTTAATCATGGTGACTTTATACATAAAAATACTCCTTCCACGATATGCATTACCAACTTTTTTTAAAAAAAGCATGACTTTCTAACAATAATTTATAGAAAAACAGTGTCTTTTAGAAATCATACTTGCTAGAATGTATTTTTTTCTAAATACTGACATAAAGTGAATAAGAATGTTATTTGGCAAAAGTATTTCTAGCCCTATCTCCATGGGAAGATTTTAAAATTAAGGTCAAGAACATTTGACCCATTATTTCTCTGCTCTAGCTGCTTGCACAAAGCCAATAAATATAGCTAAAATATTCAAAATATGGTACATTAAAGCTGACATAATGTAGAGAGCTCAATTACACCTCATTTTTGAGGACAACTTGAAACAACTTAGCACAATTATACCTCATAGCTTATATTTTTTAAGGTAAATCCTGCAAGTTTTAAGGGGCTCTTTTTTTTTTAAGTGAGATTTTTCTTACTCTTCTATATGTCTAAATGCTACCTCTCACTTATAGCCACTTAATTGTTAAATGTGGTAATAGGTTCTGTAAGAAAAAGCTCTAGAGTTCCTTCACTCCCACATTCCTACATGTAGGAGAAAAATAAATAAGACTTCCTGAAACTGTCTTTCAATACTATCATTAACAACTGAAACATTAAACCAAAGAACAGCTTTTTTGCTTTTGTTTTTGTAACTTTTATTTTCAGAAAGTCCAATAAATGATATCTTGACTTTAGTGGGCTAGATATACTTAGATATTGGACTTAAAAATCAAATGTGGGAATTTCTCTAAAATAGTATGTACAATCATGTAATGATAAGACTTGCTAATTTAATTCTTAAACAAGTTCTAATTGTCATTATGACTGCTATTAATGGTTCAGCTGCAGACGTACAAAACTGACAGAAGCTAAAATTCTCTTTGCCACCAAAATTACAAATGTTAAAAAGTTCAAATATGCACATCAAAGCTGCAGTAAAATTCTAAATTTCTATTTTTACATGCCATGATCCAGACTGTACCTAACAAAACACGGTACATTTATATTGGAAAAGTGGGGTCCCATTTATTTGTAAGAAAAAGCTGGATCTCAGCATTCACCAGAGCAAAAGTCAGTGGCAACCTGCACACAGGCCTCAGTTTCACTTCTTGCCAAGAACAAAATAGAGTTTACATAAAAATAGATATGACCCAGGTTACCATATACATCAGTATATGACCAGTAGTATTTACATTAAAAACACTGCATTGCATAATTCAAGGAATAAAATACCATCATGCACTTCATTTTAGCTGTTAAGGGGAAGAATGCAGTCACAGACGTTTGCTCACCATGGCTGTCCCGGTATTTACTGAAGGCAGAGTGAATACTCAAAGGTTTCTCATTTACAAATCTCCTTCCACACCCCGCCATTAATCCAAGTGTCACACAGGGCACACCACTTAGGCAACAAGAAACTTTTGAATACAATATGCTATTACACTGGCATATTAAACTAAAGGTATGGATACATAACCACATTGAAAGGCTGGATGAAAATGTATGAAAGAATCCCAAGAATTCTAGTTCTTCAAATGTAAAAAACTATTTGGATCATCTCAAAGGAGCACTGAAGTCCTTTCAAAGTTTAATGTCACTCTTCAGACAAGTACAGACATGACACATTTCTAGAAAGGAACATTCTTTATCATTCTGCACAAATTAAAATACAGTGCATGAGTCAAAAGGAACATTAGATGATTGTTACGTTAGAAGAAGTTTTTGCCATTTCTTCCGGAGAATGACTTTTGAGGACTTCTCTGATGAACTGCTCAAGGGCGGGGAAGTAGCCCTGGCATTGCCACGTGTCATTATGAGTCCCGTCAGGGAAGATGGCTAATCTCTTAGTCCGAGACGGGGAGAGCTCATAGAGTTGCTTCATCATCACTGGCGGAATTAACTGGTCAGAGAGTCCAGAGATGAAAAGAGAAGGCATTCTGCACTGAGAGATTTTTCTGTAGGACAAGAATTTATTTTTGTAGCACCATAAAGGAAGGTAACGCATCGGAAAGAAGGAAAATAAAGTGCTGGCCATATGCGGTATGCTTAGAAATGTATTCTCCACCATAATGGCTGAAATCCTGTGTGAATTTTCAGAGGCCAAGTGAATAGCCACTGCTCCTCCCAAGGAACGGCCAAAAAGGAAAATTTTTGTCTTGTCAAGGTCAGGTCTAGTCATCACATAGTCTAGCACAGCTTCAGAGTCTAAGCAGAGTCCTTCTTCACTGGCTTCTCCTTCGCTTTTCCCATAGCCTCGATAATCAACAAGCAAAAGATTAACTTTGAGGTTAACCAACATAAGCAATGCATTCGGTAACCTGTGACCTATGTTGCCTGCATTCCCATGAAAATAAATTATAGTTGGGGAATAGGGTGAATTGTCTCCAGTGTATCTTATCAAAATAAGATTTAGACGCACTCCATCTTTGGTTCTGATGAAAATGTTTTCGTGTGGAATACCAGTGGGCATGGGAACATAAAGGCGTGAAGAAGATGGCTGTTCTGGAAAATAAAGCAATACATCCTGGAATTTATATAGAATACCTGCTATTGATACGAATATTAACAAAAGTAAGATAATGCCTCCATACAGATGAAAAGTCACTATTAAAGGTAAAAGGGAGATACGGCAAAGAGCCCAAGACCATGAAGCCAAGGCTATCAGCCATCTTTCAACAAAGTTCCACAGCATCCAGGACTTTTCCATGGTCGCTCTCCGTAAGTATCCTAAGGAGGGAGAGAGAGAGAGAGAGAGAATCAGTAATTCGACATACGTTATTTTAAAAGTTAGATCCATGATATGATAAAGTATGGTGCTAGGAGAATCCTTGGAAGGCTACATCAGTCCATCCACTGCTGCTCTAATCCCCTGCTCATTCTGTTCTCAACAGTCTCCTTTCTCCTTCCACTGCTGTATTTATGAAACACAAATATTCACCAAATTATACTCATTTTTTTTAAAGCGCTTACTTACTGCCAGGTACTTTCATTAATGCATTCTCCTTGATTTGACAGGAAAATCAGTTGATCCCATGTTCCCAAATTTTTATATAAGCGAGTGGAGGCTCAGGGGTATAAGTAAACTGCTGTGCTCCCAGCTCCTCAGGTTGTAGAGGCCAGAGGCCAATGAGCATGATCCCAAAGCTCCTTGTGTGCCCACAAAAGGGCTAGGCAGGCTGAGAAAAAAAATTTTTTTTTGTATTGAGGTTTGACATGTAACATTGTATTATTTTCAGGTGTACAACATAAGGATATTTATATATATCGGGAAATGATCACCACAGTAAGTCTAGTTAACATCTGTCACCATACACAGTTGCAAAAATTTTTTTTCCTGTGATGAGAACTTCTAAGATCCACTCTCTTAAAACTTCCAAATACACAACACGTATTAATGATAGTTGCCAAACCGTACATCATATCCCCATGGCTATTTATTTTACAACTGGAAGTTTGGACATAGACCCATTTCATCCATCCCTGACTCTGGCAACCAACAATCTGTTCTCTGTATCTATAAACTTGGGGTTTGGGTTTTTTTGTTTTTTTGCGGGGGGGGGGGTTGGTTTTTTTTTTTTTGGGGGGGTCTTTCTCTGACTTATCTCAGTAAGCATAATGCTCTCAAGTCCATCCATTTTGTTGCAACGGCACGATTTCATTCTTTTTTATGGCTTGGTAATATTTCATTATCTGTATGTATCACGTTTTCTTTATCCATTCATCCATCAGTGGACACTCAGGTTGTTTCCATATCTTGGCTGTTGTAAATAATGTTGCAATGAACATGGGGGTCCACATATTTTTTTGAGTCAGTGGTTTTGTTTTCTTTGGATAAACAGCCAGAAGCAGAACTGCTTGATCATATGGTAGTTATATATTTTTAATTTTTTGAAGAACCTCCATACTATTTTTCATAGTGGCTGCACCATTTATATTCCCACCAACAGTGCACAAGGGTTTCCTTTTCTCCACATCATTGTCAACATTTATTTCTTGTCTTTTTGATAATAGCCATTCTGACAGGTATGAGGGGATATCTCACTGTGGCTTTTTGATTTGCATTTCCCTGACAATTAGTGATGCTGAACATCTTTTCATATACCTACTGGCCATCTGTATGTCTTCTATGGAAAAATGTCTATTCAGATCTTCTGTCCATTTCATAATCATATTGTTTGTTTTGTTGCTATTAAGTTGAGTTCTTTATATACTTTGGAGACTAACCCCTTAACAGATACATAATTTGCAAATATATTCTCCCATTCAGTAGGCTGTCTTTTCATTTTGTTGATGGTTTCCTTTGCTGTGCAGAAGCTTTTTAGTTTGATGTAGTCCCACTTAATTATTTTGTGCTTTTGCTGCCCCTGCTTTTGGTGTCATAGATCCAAAGATCATTGCCAAGACAGATGTTAGGGGCTTACTGCCAAGTTTTCCCCTGGGGGTTTTATGGTTTCAGGTCTTAAAGTCTTTATTCCATTTTGAGTTAATTTTTGTTTATGGTGTAAAATAGTGGTCCAGTTTCATTCTTCTACATGTGGATATCCAGTTTTCCCAGCACCATTTGTTGAAGAAACTGCATATTCTTGGCTCCTCTGCTATAAATTAACTGACCATTTGTGTGTAGGTTTATTTCTGGGCCATCTATTCTGTTCCACTGATCTACGTGTCTGTTTTTATGCCAAAATCACATTGTTTTGATAGAGCTTTGTAATATAGTTTGAATCAGGGAGTGTGATGCCTCCAGCTTTTTCTTTCTCAAGATTGTTTTGGCTATTTGGGGTCTTTTGTGGTTCCATACAAATTGTAGGATTATTGTTCTATTTCTGTAAAAAATGCCATTGGAATTTTGATAGTGACTGCATTGTATCTGTAGACTGTTCTGGGTAATATGGACATTATAACAATTCTTCTAACCCATGAACAAGGAATATCTTTCCACTTATTTCTGTCTTCTTCAATTTCTTTCATTAATGTCTTACAATTTTCAGTGTACAGATCCTTCCACCACCTTGATTAAACTTATTCCAAGGTATTTATTTTTTTATGGAAATGTAAATAAAACTGTTTTCTTAAATTTATCTTTCTGATAATTATTAGTGTATAGAAAAACAACAGATTTTTGTATGTTGATTTTGTGTCCTACAACTTTACTGAGCTAGGTAGGTTGAAGGCAAATTTTATGAGATGGTTAACATGTTCTAACCAATCAAGGCCAGTATGATATAATTTACTGTCAATTTTCTTTTTTTTTCTAAAGATTATTTATTTATTTAACTTATTTTATTTATTTATTTGACAGAGAGACACAGCAAGAGAGGGAACACAAGCAGGGGGAGCAGGAGAGGGAGAAGCAGGCTTCCCGCTGAGCAGGGAGCCCGATGCGGGGCTCGATCCCAGGACCCTGGGATCATGACCTGAGCCGAAGGCAGACGCTTAACGACTGAGCCACCCAGGCGCCCCTATCTTTTTCACATTATAAATTATAACTAAGCAATCTAAAGGAAAAAATATTTTCTTCTCTACCTGGAGGTTTTCACGGTTAAACAATTTATTTAAATTAACCACTGGTTTCTAATACTGTATTAATTTTTGAGGAAAAGGTGAATAATTTGTTGTTCACATCCGATTAAAAAGAAATTTCTGATTGCCAGTATCATGAAATAATGTACAATCTTTCATAGAGCCCTTAGTGCAATTTCGTATCAGTGAGTCAAAACATGCTGCTATGATGTATTGTACTGATAAGGCCATAAACACCTGAGGAATAAGTGTGAAATAACAGACATAGCACTTCCATTTGAGAACCAGAGATAAATGAAGAAAATGACTTATTGGAGAAAATTATTTTTAAAGATTTCTAAAATTATAACTGACAAAATAAAATACAGAAGAAAAGTGATTCAAGTCAAATTTTTTCGGTAACCAAATAAAGTTTATGCATGCTGTCTTAAAAAGGCAAAAAAGGTGAGATGTGTTGTAAATTTTCTTACATAGCAGTCATCTATTTACGTATTTGCTAAAATAAATATTAAATTCTCTTTTACTCACTAACACAACTACCATAAGTTATTCTTACATTTAATACATGTTAGGGACTGATTTTTTAAATTTTACTGTATTCCATATGCTAATAAATGTGATTTTCATTCACTGAATTAAACACTGAAAAAAATCATAAAACCAAGTTAAATTAGATTGGCTATAAAGATGAGTTAGATGACTTAACAGATTTGATTTTTCATATTATCTCACCAAACATGTCGTAAGTATTTCACTAAACACAGACTTCCAAATTTGAGTTCTTGTTCAAATGGCTCTCTTTGAACATAAACCAACAAAATAGCATTTTTCTCAAGTTTCTCTGAAATCAACACTGCCACCCAGTTGTAGCAAGTTTTATTACAATGAGCACCATGGAAAGCCAGAGAAAAGCAGGTATGTGAAGTAAAACAAAAATTCAAGCCTCCTAACAGTCACAGAAGCAATACCTGAGCAGTAGGGATCAAGAACCGGTTAAAAACCAGATGGAAAGAGGTTGCACGACAGCAGCCAAATAAGCCAATCACATTCAATACCAAAAACTGTTCCAGATCAATAATCGATCAATGCCTTTACAACCTATAACAGCTATTTATCAACAGAGCTTAGATCAGACAGGGCTACTCTATATTCCTTCAACACAGTACTTAAGTCTCAACAACACATCTGGCCCACTTAAACTTTTCATCTAATGTTTACTTAACTTTATTTTTATTTTTTTAATTATAAGTGATATCAATGATTTTCATCTGTACCCAAAAGATATACTGGAGAAATGTGAAAACACACCAGCATTAACTTTTTACATCAAAATAAAAAAAATTTTTTGTGTAATGATTAGGATTAGCAGGGTTTGGAATAAAATACAAATATACTAAAGCATTGCACTATTTGGAAAATAAGATACCACTTAAGGCTGTTAAGGTATTTCTTAAGGTACTGTTAAGGTATTTCTTTAGTGAACAATCTTACTGTATTTTTCATGGTTAAAGCCAATCATTTATGACAGCTGTCAGAGAGATGAGTAACTCAAACACCATTTATTTGGTGATTTAGTAGAAAAAAAACACAGTAAAATTTCATCAACCTAAATTCTGCTCTACCATATATTTCCTAAATAATCTTGTGTTTATCACTTATTTCCAGTCTGAATTTCCTTTTCAGTAGAATGAGAATTTTTAAAACGCCTACATATAAGGCCAGTCAGCATTACCAAATGAAACTAATTTCAAAAGCATTTACTACATCAAAAACTAATGATGCACTGTAGGGTGACTAACATAACATAATAAAATAAAATTTAAAAAAAGCATTTACAAATGCTATAGAGATATGTTAACTTTATTTGCTTTTGTGACTAGTATTTCTAGCTGTACTATGTTCCTAACCATGTTCTGCTCAAATTAACATCAACATCAGAATGTACCAAGCAAATGTAGAAATTTGATAAGGGTCCCTATATCCTGGATAATCAAGAGTTGACCAATTTTCAAATCAAACAAAAACTACTAAAATATTTCATATGTGCATATATATCAAATATATAGAAAAATAGTTACAATTATTATTCAAACTTTGAAAAATTATCTTCTTAAAATAGCCTCTTTGATATCTAATTTCAACATAAAATATTGAACTTAAATCTGTAAGGCCAAGAACTTTCTCTTTTTCACTACTGTATCCCTACTGGGTAGGTACACCACTTTACATACATTCAAGACTAAAATGTTTTTTAAATGGGCAATCCAGTAATATACCTAAATTATTAGACTTCTGAGAAAACATAACTGTATTCTGAGCACTGGGCATATATATATTTAGGACCGGACATCAGAAAAAATGGCATATCTGAGTCCACTTTTGGTCAGAAATAAGAGGAATTAAATTTGCAGTTTTCCACAAAGCATTCCTGAAAAGCCACCTTAACTAAATGACTTTGTGATAAACAAACATAATCTTAGAATTTTAAACTGTGGAAGACAGTATCAAAGTCAATTCATTTGGAGGAATATCAAATGGAAATTAACTTTAAGGACAGGTGAATAAAAACGACTCTGAAGTATGTACACTGTCTTCTCTTTAATATGCTTTGGCATATTGGTGGTTTAGAAAGAGACCTCTACTCACAGACTGCCTT